TACTCATCAAGTTTATATATATATATATATTAAGTAGTATTTAATTGACTACAAGGCTACAAAGATTTATAACCAATTAAAATATTGATTAAGAAAATAGAATAAAAATTATTAAATTAGATTCAAATGATGTTTTAATATAACTAATAATTTTTAAATCTTGTTCAAACTCTTATTGTCTTATGACTACAAGATTAGGGTTGTTGAAAGGACTCTTTGTTCGTGAAACAACTCGTGTTCGGCTCTTTAAGCAAACGAACCGAAGACGAACATACTTTTTGAGCTCGAAATATAAACGAGCCTAGCCAGAGCTATGAATGATTCGCTCTTGTGATTCGCTCGTGTTCGGCTCGTTTACACCCCAAGTTATAATATAGATCGGGTTCGTGTTGGTCTTTCCGATCCATTTAATATTCAAGTTTGGATAAAGTGATATAAATATAAAAATCAACGTTCACGTGTTAGACATGAAAATTCATCGGAGCTGTGGTATGAATGTAAAATTTTTCTATTTTTGATGGTCTCGGGTTCTTATTTTGGGAGTGCACATGTTTTTCAGTTTACTTTCGACCTTTTATGGAAACCCAGTTAAGCTGACAGTCTTACTTTCGACCTTTTATGGAAACATTAAGTATCTAAAGTTTTTGTCATTTAGGTAAAAAATTAAACTAAGCAATTCAATATTTAGATTTGTATAAACCCCCTTACAATTACTAGTTATTTTATAACTTATAATAAACCCTTTATATTCCATCCGTTTCTGCAAATACTGATTTGTTTTTGAATTTAACCACAAAACATCGGAAAAAAATGTCACAATTTTTCTTTTCCTTGTTTAACGATTTTTCTTGCTAATTTTCCAATTCCAAATTCACTTTATTCTTTTAAAAAGGGCAAATTTAGATACTTACCACACAATTTACATATCTAACAACTAGGGGTGTAAACGAGTCAGGCTCAGCTCGTGTTCGACTCGTTTATATTTCGAGCTCAAAATGTGTGTTTGTGTTTGACTCGTTTGCTTCGCGAGCTGAACACGAGCCGTTTACTGGCTCGTTTGCTTCGCGAGCTGAACACGAGCCGTTTAACGAACAAATAGTCATTTTAACAACCCTAATCACGTAGCCAACAAAATTTTAATTTCAATATTTAAGGTTTGGGGCAAGGTTTAAAACATCATTTGAATCTAATTTAGTAATTTTTATTCTATTTTCTTCATTAATATTTTTAATTGATTATAAATCTCTGTAGCCTTGTAGTCAATTAATTTTTTAAAAAAACTACTTATCAAAAAATATATATATATAATTGATTAGTAGTATTTCAAGCCAAAACGAGCCGAACACGAACGAACAAATATTTGTTCCTGTTCGGCTAGCAAACGAGCCGAGCACGAGCTTTTTAACGAGCCGAACACGAGCTGTTCGAGAACAAGGAGTCGTTTTGACAGCCCTACTAACAACTAAAATTTTATGTTTATATTTGTAACACCTTGCTATAAACATGCATAACAAAATTCATCCAACTTTTAAAAAAATAATAAAAGTGATATTTTTGATGTCATGTTAATGAATTGAGTTCCAAGAATATAAATATTAAAGTTTATATAAATGTAGATACTTAAGACTCATGTGGTATATATGTAATTCCTCGGCAAAATTAAAACTGATTTTCAATCCATTACAAACTACTGCAATCTAATTCTATCTATTTATGATAGCATTTATATATACATATATATATACACCATACATGTGGCATTAATTTACGCAAACAACATCATTTGAATTTATTGGAATATCTAATACCTAAACATCCATATTTATATGCAGACTGTTATGAATTATAATAGGAAATAATTTATTTCTATAAGAAGTTATGAGGAAAAAAATTATTTCCTTAATATAAGTAGATATTTTCTTTCCTAATTTATATTTATTTCCTTGGATTAGGAATCATTTGTTTCCCTATCATTTCCTTTTTATTATTTTTCATATTACATAATGCTTGTAAAGGTTATTTATTCCTCCGTTCATATCAATGAAACAATATGAAGCATTTCACTTAAAAAAAAAAAAATCAAGTATTTACTTTATTCCACATTATTCTGAAATTTCAACATGGTATCAAAGCAGAGTTTCGTACCCTAGCCACCGGTCCTCATTTAAAAATTGGTGGACTCCCTTCTTGTCATCCTCTATGCAGGAAGGGAGGGACACTCATCTTGATATTTGAATCGATGCTTTTTTTTCTTTCTTCTCCTAGGACTTTCAGAAAGTCGGGGGATCTTACTTCACTTCTACACACGGCTCCCAAGAAACCATGACAGCAAAGATGTTTTGGAGTTTGGCCAGACATCACCACAAACCATTAAAAAAAAAACTTTATGTGGTGTATCTTTCTATGTCTGCACCAGGGATGGGGCTTCAGCAAGGGCGACACCAGCGATGCTGCCACCCGCCTCATCATCATCCCGTCCCGTCGGAGATATCGCTGTCGCTGTCATGGATCGAACAAGGCCGCCAAAATCCATCACCGGCCCTTCCTCATGCAGTATTTTTTTCTTCCCTGTCAAAGCATCAGGGCTCCTGCAATATCTTTCTTCCCTGTCAAAGCGTTAGGGGAAGCTGCGTTTCCGGCCGGTCATTTCTCCTGCAGCATTTTTTTCTTCCTTGCCCAAGTGTCAGGGGGAGCTTCTTGTGATTGTCTCTTCCCCTGCAAAACTCAAAATTCAGCAAAGTCTGAATCCAACAAATTCAGCTAAGTCTGAATCTCTCTTCTACGTCGAAACATATGACAGACAAGCTGAAATTCAGCCAAGCTTGAATCTAGCAAATTCAATAATTCAAATGACCAATTTTTCTTCACTACTAGGAATAAATTATTTTCTTAATATAAGGAGATATTTCCTTTCTTATTTTATATTTATTTCCTTAGATTAAGAATTATTTGTTTTCCTATTTTATGTTAATTCATATATCTCCTAATAATTAATATGAATTAATTATTAGAGATATTATATGATATATCTTTCATTTCATATCATTTCATTTCATATCATATCATTTCCTTTTTATTATTTTTTCTATTATAGAGTTCTTGTAAGGGTTATTTATACTCTCGTTCATATCAATGAAATAATTGAGTATTTCACTTTATTACGTATTATTCTGAATTTCAACACGGATCACTCAAATCATTAACAATATATAAAAAAAATCACCATATATTTTTAAAAATAAAAAATACATTAACATACATAAATTTATGAGAATAAGATGCTATAAATGTAAATATCAAATATTAGATGTCAGATATATCAAACTAAAAACGTTTAAAATTCTAAAAAATTATTCTCAAATTCTTGAAATCAAATACCTCCAACATTTTTCTTATCCTCTTCACCAACACAAACTTTTATTTAATGATAAGAAATGACGAACACAAACCCGATTACGACGCAAAACAAACTGAAACAATTACATGCACCAAGCTCAAAATCAAATAGCTCCTTATTCAAAATCTACTACTGGAACCAGAACAATAAGGCAACTAAAACACAAATTATCAACTCCTGCAGCTCCGGGCTGTGTACTTCGCCGTGTCAGCCAATTCCCCCCAGCACTCCCTTCAGCTTCCTCACCTGCGCATCATCCAGGAATGTCACCTTCTCCACCAACGCCGACGGCAACGAATTCCCAAACAGCGCAAAGCTCGTAATCTGCAACCCCGGGTCCGGACTGCTAAAAGTAGCAATTGCCGCAGCCGGCGCTCCGCCGCACTGCACCTGCAAAAATGCCTCCTTTGTTATCATTAATTAACAACTTTTCCACGTTCCTTAATTTAATTAGCTTATTGAGGAACGTCACGTGCCTGGAAGTGAAGCAGGCCTTGAGGAAACACCATTATATCTCCCTGGGACAGCGTTTTATAATAGACTGAATTGGAGGAGGAGATGAAACCGGATAAGATAGAGCCCTGTGTGACCAGGAGGAGCTCGTTGGCGGAGGGGTGGGTGTGGAGAGGGACGACGCCGCCAAGGTCGAGGTCAAGGCGGGCTGCGGAGATGCCGAGGCCATTGAGGCCGGGAAAGCTGGAGACGAAGGCTGGGGTCACTGCGGCTTTGATCAAGTTGGAGGTATTTCCGGCGGAACGTAGGCCAGCCCGGAGAAGACGAAGTCTTGAATGGTGACGGTGGATGGTTTCTTGCAGGAGAAGCCGAAGGGAGTGGTGGGAAGGGAGAGATCGCCGACACAGAAGTCTTCCGCGGAGGAGGGGGAGAGGAGGGAGAGGAGGACGGCAAGGAGAAGGGTTGGGAACATGACTGGTTGACTTCTGTGGTTGGAGATGAATTGGTGCTGGGGAGGAGATGGAGAACATACATATATAAGTGCATGAAGGCAATCTTGCTAACCCCAATATGCGAGGTTGATCGGTCGAATGTGATCAATTTATTTTTTTTGTCACGAGCCTTGGCTCTAGGCTCATTTTTCGTTCAACTCGAGTGTTACAGTGCTCGTGTCGTGTCTGTCTAGTTGGTTCATCGCATTGGCCAAATCTCTCAATCTTGCAAGGTCTTAAGAGGATCATGTCGCAGCCTATGCAGGATATCCAACGAGACTCATTGTTTAGATGATTCACGCCTCGCTTTCGGTGGGTGCTGGCTCTACTAAGCATGAAACCATTTTCAGAGTGTGAACTTGAGACGCGGTTTCATGCTCGGCCTTGGATCGTCGGTTAATTGCTTACCTTAAAAGAAGACCCTTGAAAAGTCATTCGTTTTCTTTAAGATTTGTGTTGATATTTTTTATATATATAAGAAATGAGCAATATAACTGGAGTAAAACGTAAATATTATATATATATATATA